CCCAGAGCCAACATGTGCCTCGAAAGAGTCAATCTGGTAAACGCAATTGGTGAGAAATCCGAGCCATATGTAACGTTTCGTTGAATTCGCTGATAATAGCCTCATGTTGTCCTATTTTTTCTTCCAATAGACTGTTTAGGGCTTTTCTAGCATTTATCACCTAAAACTTTGGCATATTAGTGTATTGCAAAGAGTACAGAATATACACATTGGAAAAAGGAAGGCAAATGAAACGTATTACATCAAAAGCGGTAAGCATAGTGTCAAATGAGATTTTATCCGCATAGTCGGCTACTTCAAATCGGAATTCTGAACTTTTCAGAAAGATTTTGAGAAAGCTAGCGTTACTGATCAAATCGTAAGCGTCTGATGTAACAATGCGCGAAAAGCACAAAAGGGCGTGAGACTCCATTTAACGTACTCTCAGTCATATAGTTTTGGCTGGACCCGGACAGCTGTTACTGATAAATTTAAATGTGCCGTTCAAGATGTTCCACATATGTAGATTTAATCAATGAACGTACTACATTTATCAAGAAACGTTTTTGAGGCAAGGTAAGTTCAGTATCGGTGAGTAGGGTGACGTATCACAAAATGCTTGGGAATGCTGCCGAAAGCTTAAGAAACGGTAATGTGCACAGACACTGCGTCGAATTTTAGATGCTTTCAGTTGTGCAGAAAACGCAGTGAGCTTACAGTGGTTTTGAGCGAAGGTGAAAAGTGAAAAATTTGTTGACAAAAAGATTTATCAGAAGTGAAAACCCGATCAGACAAGAAGAAACGGTGTATGAGATATTCCGGCTAAAGCATGACTATGATAATTCGATCTGGAATTAATCCTATAAACATCACAAAAAGCTATTTTCTGACTTCCGCGAGGTTGTTAGGTCTGGTTAGCAAGATTTCCAAATTGAACTATAAATCATATTTTGGAGTGAAGCAGCAAGTGCCGCCAAGTACATCCATTGGTGTTTTTCAGGGACAGGCTACTGCCTGTCCTTCCAAAAAAATGACATTTTTGACATGATTCGTAGACATATTGGATGTCATAACCGACCCACAAAGAACAAGCGTCCCTAATATCCTCCAAACTCCAAGACTGAGTTGTGAGCTATGAAAGGAGACTTTGCAATTTGAGATATGAGTGGTTTTGAACCACAGAATTTCGCTTCCAGAATGGCAGTCGTGTTTCGCACCAGTGTTTTTAAGTGTTTGTCGTATGTGCACTGGACTATTAACGACAACCTTGGTAGGTACGCTATGATCGATGTGTTTCAAGCAATTTTAGCTGTTGAATAAAAAGAATTGCCTTGAAGCCGAATTTTATCTGATTCCCTACTAACGTTTATTTCGTTCTTCGAACGCATTTTGAAGGCAGTTTTCGGGAAAAGCTGACCCACGCCTGATATTGAACTGTTTCAACACTCGCCCAACAGTGTCAATGTTCTAAGGGTTGGTTATACTGGTGTCGCAGACCTACCCTTAGATTTGGTAACAACTGTTTTCCATTTCAACTAACCCTTAACGAGTGTCGGACGAACCCACTGCAAAGTGACAACAGATTCTAACTTGCATGTGCTTGCAGGTTCTCATTGCCCCAAGTTCATTTTGAGATTTGGGACACGAGCCCTATTCCGACCCGTGCTGTTCCGTGCGGGATCGTGCAGTGTAAGCTTGTGATATGTCAACTTCGCACGTGACGAATATCATGTGCCATCAACGTGCCCATAATCACCGCAATTCTGGGAGCACGTCACTAGCAGAGGACCATACGAGTCATTCAGAGACATCAATGATGCGCCTTCGCTAAGGATAAACGCATGCACAACGTTTAACGGTGCGTGGTAGCAGACATGTCTATATTGACGTATGTTAAGAGATTATTATTTCGTATGCTGAGAGCTTGTTCGGAAATATCACGGGCCGCCTATTCCTATTGGCGAGCTGATCAAAAAAGTCCATGTCACACAGCGTCTGACCATTGTTTTTGTAATTGGTGAAATGGTATTGCCCTTTCTGGAGACATTTCTTCCTCCCCGAAAGTCGTATGATTCCTGATGGAGTCGTTCTCTGACCGGCCAGCTGCGAACTCGCCACTCCCCCGATGAAGCTGCATCCGCCTCACTTGCGCCGGGAGGCGTCATGGGCCTATGCTTCCATATCCGACTCTATTGCTGCTTTGTTTTCATCCAGGGAGACGGTATACGTGTTGAGTTGCTCCTTGGTGACACAGTCGTCGCCGTCGGTGAAAATGGCACTGAACGCCGCCGTCAGAGACTGGTGCGTGTGTCCAAGTACTCACTCGGTAGTGGGATTAGCCATGGCGGGCACGACCACGCACAGGACCAGGAGGCCAAGACGGAACATAGCGACAAAAGTTGCTCACGTTGGCTGCTTGCAAAGCAGCTACGCAATTCACACTCGAAGTATCACATTTGTACAACGTGCGGTCACAAAAGACGGTGCCATATGTGACACGGCGATGATATTATGTGTTCCTTGTTTTGTCTTCGGATATATGGTGTTTTAAGAGTTAAATTGGCAATTAGTTATTTGAAGCTTTAGCTGCAGCCAGTTAGCAAAACACGCTGTGTCATGATGACCCATAGAGCACCGCTTACTGCAGGCAACATGCTCTGCTTTATGCATAGCACCGTGCTGATAGCTTTATTAAGACAAATATTGAATGAGCAAATTACGTTGAACTAAGATCAGACATGAAGGTCGGGCCAAGGATTCTAAGCAAAAGGTCACGTGCACATTTAAGGTCAGTGACCTTGTTTGACCTTTTGAAGATCGTGGTGACCAAAATCATACAAGACTACTCTGAGTTATGCATTTTGATGATCAACAAAAATCACGCTAGGCGGTGTGTTTCTAAAAACCAAATTGTGACCTGGGTTTTATTACGTCTTCTCGCTTTTAATAAATTCGAAATGAGTACGAGCAACTATCCCATACAGCAAGCCTTAGAGTAATAAAACAGATTGGTTTTGACATCTTTGCGCCCGTGTAGCTTATAAACTAGACAAGTTTTATTCTTTTTTAGAGGCGTTTCATAAGCAAGGGGCAGGGCTGTGTACTGCACAGAGTGATCTTCCAGATTGCTTCTTCAGTTCAAACCCCACAGAAATGTGGAGCCCTCTCTTCAATTCCGCCATTGTAGATAGCGCTTTGTGCGATGTCATTCAGCGTCGTCTACTCATGCACCCGTGGCGGTAATTCCACATGACCGCGATGCGTTGCAACGCATGGCTTCTATCTTAGTCTGGATGTGACGCTCCTTTTCGAGGGGATGGGGATCATTTGGGCACACGCGAAGTGATCAGTTGGAGATATCCAGACGCGACACATCACGTGTTTTCCAGACTTACACCTGTGTGGTTTTTATGTAAGACGTATGAAATGCGTGTAATACGAGACGGATGTCTGAAACGCACGCGTGGCCATCATAAAACTCATCTTGAGACCGTCCGCCCACCAAAACATCACCTCATCTTATAAGGTAGCCGAAACAAAAAAAACAAAACAAGTAAGTTCTTGACAGGTACGGGAAGCACTCAGCGAGGCGCGTCTCGCATGCTGAAATAGTCGTTTTACGAGAGCACCCAAGATCACCATACATTTTCAGCTAGTTTCTGCTGAAGTTCGCCTCAAACAATCCCTCACTCCGCACTTCGACAACTGCAAACAGCGGTGAACTTCTGTGCAGATCAGCACGTTTGCAGCGCAAAATTACAATGCTGCTGCTAATGGACATCTTCATCCCGTCTCTAGTCCGCAACAACGACAACTTGCGCGCAGGTGCAGTTGATCCCAAACAAAGGTCGGGTGTCCGTCAAGTTGTAAGCTGGAGCGTATGATGACCCTGGCTTTTCAGCTGTTCGTAAATTTGCGCCTCTTAGTGCCAAGACAAACCCATTAACCGAAGTAGGGGAGAGACAGGTGGTACCTAATACTGACATTGCCATGTTCCTGTAACTTTTGCTGGCACTCCATATTTAGGAAGACTCGGCAAAGGGGCAATAGGAGCAGGACGTATGGGCCATGGGCCCAACCAATCGAGCGTAGAGATGGGAACAAGGGGACCGGAGGACTTTTGAAGGAGGACTGCGGACTTTCCCAACCACTATGAAAGTTTTTTTGTGAAATGTTCTCGCATGTTTCGGGTTCAAGTTCCAGTCCAGCGGCAACGTCTTCCAATGAGAGCAGCTTCCCGTCGGAGTCCAGCTTGTAACACTGAACCGCCAGGTACTCTGGCAGTGGTGTGTCTGTGCTCTGCTCATCGGCATTGCGATGGTCGTCTAGCTCCTGCCTCCTGATCGCCCGTCGCGGATATGCTAGGGCCCCACCAGGAGGGTCCGTTATGGTCGAGATATCGTTGGCGGCTGACATAGTGCTGCTGACTGCTGACATGTATTGGGCGTCTGCTCACATAAAAACCGGCTTAACAGCGCTCAGTTCATACGACGCACCGCGCTAGAAATCTGCTGAAAACACGGAGGTGTGGCTGTGCGGTTGCACTGATGAACAGTACAGGCAACTAAAGGCAACATTTATGATGGCGCCGTGATGACCGATTGGATCCAGTCCAGTGATGGTCCAAGGGCGATGTTGATATCCGGAAACTCTTTGCTGCCACAACCGGCTCCAGCAACAGCCATCCCCACTGCGTACCACCTCGCGATGTCACCCTCCCTGATAACTTTCATTAACACAGAACCCAGATCGCCGCTATTGATAGCACACAAGAACACCGATGTTGGTTCAAAAAACTTCGTACAAAACGAGCCTGCATCAAAATACGGGATGAATGGTCGGATCTTGGTGTAATTGCTTCTACAATCTCTGAAATCCACCACCCTCACCCTGGCCCATTTCAGGGACAAGAACGCTGTGCTTGCGGCAAATCTTGTCGCGCCCCAGCCCGCAAAGATGAGGTCATCACCCGCTGGCACAATTGACGTAAGGGATGCATCTGGTAGGCAAATAGGGCTCACAGTGCTGGAGAACGAAATTTTTGACACAGTCTTCAGCAAGGCAATGTCCTGAGCTCTCTTTTCCGGCAGCGAAAACTGGGGATGCCGCGCAACTTCGATGATGTCCAGCTCGAACGGAGGAGCGTTAGGATTGTCGTCAGAGGTGTCCTGCAAGTCGAGGTCGCCGAAGCGCACACTCAGCTGGCGGCCATCACGAGTGCAGGTCGCCCCCGTCAACACCCATCGGTCAGAGATCACGGCGCCCCCGCAGACCACTATACCTCTGCCGCCCTTTTGTCTTTCGGAGATGGCCGCCATCCAGGGAAAGTTGGCGGCGTTCTTGACGAACGAGGCGCCCAGCTGCGCCGGTGGCGAAAAGCTGGTCTTCCCGCAGCCGGCGCCGCGCGGCTCCTGTCCGGGGCAGCAGAACAGCGGAGTGGTGGCCGCGTCCAGGCCGCAGAGAGGCCGGTACAGCGTCACTGACAGGTCCTCGCCGCCCGACGACAGCAGGTCGGGACAGTCCCGTAAGTGAAGGCAAAAGCCGGCCGCACCGTCCGGGGTGGAACAAGGCCGGCCCAGGTCCCCCTGAGGCCGGTCGGCGGCATCTGGATCTGCGGTCACTGTCGTGCTCGGGGCCGCATCCTCCTCCTGGTCCAGCTCTAGGCGGCGCAACAGCCAGGCAGTGTAAGCCGACAGCTTAGTGTAGAGGCCGGGACGCCGGCCGCAGCCAAGCGGGTCGCCAGACGACACGACGCCATACGCCACGAAGCGGCCGCTGTCCGCGTCGCCACACACCAGCGGGCCGCCCGAGTCGCCCTCGCAGCTGTCGGCGCCGCCACCCGTCGGGCCCGAGCAGAACATGGCGCCGGGCAGGAAGCGGTCCTGGTACACCTCGGGCGCACCACAGAAGGCGTCCGACACCAGCGGCACCGAGACGCCGCGCAGCACCTCCGAGATGGGCGCAAGGTCCGCAATGCGGCCCCAGCCGGACATCTCGCACGGCAGAAACGTCTCGTACTTGGTGCCGGCTGCCGGTAGGCAGGCCGGCTGCACGTAGCGGCCGAGCGTGATGCCGGCTCCGACGCGGCGACGTAGCCGCAGCAGGGCCACGTCGTGCCGCAAGCCAGCAGCCGTGCCGAACCGGCTGTGCACGTGGTAGCTGGCGACGGCGAACTCCTGCTCGAACAGCTCGCGGTCGTCAAATCGGAGGTCTCCGACACGCACCAGCAGCCGACGTGGGGCCACCTCAACCACGCAGTGGGCGGCCGTCACCACGTGTTCCTGCGAGACAATGATGCCTCCGCAGTGATGTACATAGCCCTTCACATTGGCATCGTACATGACCAGCCGCGCCTGCCACAGATATTGACCATAATAGGCGGTGGTGTTGCCCGGCCCGACTATGAGCGGTCGGCGCGCCTCGTACGGCCGCACGATGCGGCGGCCGCAGTCCGTCGAATTCTGAATCCTGCATTCATCTAAAGGGACTTTCAAGGTGGAAGACATCAGAGGCCAGAGAAGAATCTTGATCTCCTATTGGCCCGTTGTTGATGTCAGTGCGTCACGTAGATAGTCTGGCCTGAACTGTTTGGAAAATATATGCTCTTCACTTTGATCGTGCGAATAATGAGGTTTTTTTATACCCAACGCGCTTTTGATTAGGTATTATTTGTACTCTGTCGTGGAAGAGATACCTATTCCGTATTTTAAGACATTACTTTGTGTACTGCACAGAGTGATCTTCCAGATCGCTTGTTCAGTTCAAACCCCACAGAAATGTGGATACCTCCCTTCAATTCTGCCATTGTAGATAGCGCTTGGTGCAGTGTCATTCAGCGTCGTCTACTCATGCACCCGTGGCGGTAATTCCACATGACCGCGATGCGTTGCAACGCATGGCTTCTATCTTAGTCTGGATGTGACGCTCCTTTTCGAGGGGATGGGGATCATTTGGGCACACGCGAAGTGATCAGTTGGAGATATCCAGACGCGACACATCACGTGTTTTCCAGACTTACACCTGTGTGGTTTTTATGTAAGACGTATGAAATGCGTGTAATACGAGACGGATGTCTGAAACGCACGCGTGGCCATCATAAAACTCATTGAGACCGTCCGCCCACCAAAATATCACCTCATCTTATAAGGTAGCCGAAACAAAAAACAAAACAAGTAAGTTCTTGACAGGTACGGGAAGCACTCAGCGAGGCGCGTCTCGCATGCTGAAATAGTCGTTTTACGAGAGCACCCAAGATCACCATACATTTTCAGCTAGTTTCTGCTGAAGTTCGCCTCAAACAATCCCTCACTCCGCGCTTCGACAACTGCAAACAGCGGTGAACTTCTTTGCAGATCAGCACGTGCAGCAGCGCAAAATTACAATGCTGCTGCTAAGGGACATCTTCATCCCGTCTCTAGTCCGCAACAACGACAACTTGCGCGCAGGTGCAGTTGATCCCAAACAAAGGTCGGGTGTCCGTCAAGTTGTAAGCTGGAGCGTATGATGACCCTGGCTTTTCAGCTGTTCGTAAATTTGCGCCTCTTAGTGCCAAGACAAACCCATTAACCGAAGTAGGGGAGAGACAGGTGGTACCTAATACTGACATTGCCATGTTCCTGTAACTTTTGCTGGCACTCCATATTTAGGAAGACTCGGCAAAGGGGCAATAGGAGCAGGACGTATGGGCCATGGGCCCAACCAATCGAGGGTAGAGATGGGAACAAGGGGACCGGAGGACTTTTGAAGGAGGACTGCGGACTTTCCCAACCACTATGAAAGTTTTTTTGTGAAATGTTCTCGCATGCTTCGGGTTCAAGTTCCAGTCCAGCGGCAACGTCTTCCAATGAGAGCAGCTTCCCGTCGGAGTCCAGCTTGTAACACTGAACCGCCAGGTACTCTGGCAGTGGTGTGTCTGTGCTCTGCTCATCGGCATTGCGATGGTCGTCTAGCTCCTGCCTCCTGATCGCCCGTCGCGGATATGCTAGGGCCCCACCAGGAGGGTCCGTTATGGTCGAGATATCGTTGGCGGCTGACATAGTGCTGCTGACTGCTGACATGTATTGGGCGTCTGCTCACATAAAAACCGGCTTAACAGCGCTCAGTTCATACGACGCACCGCGCTAGAAATCTGCTGAAAACACGGAGGTGTGGCTGTGCGGTTGCACTGATGAACAGTACAGGCAACTAAAGGCAACATTTATGATGGCGCCGTGATGACCGATTGGATCCAGTCCAGTGATGGTCCAAGCGCGATGTTGATATCCGGAAACTCTTCGTCGCCACAGCCCTTTCCAGCAACAGCCAACCCCACTGCGTACCACCTCGCGATGTCACCCTCCCCGATAACTTTCATTAACACAGAACCCTGATCGCCGATATTGATAGCACACCAGAACACCGATGTTGGTTCAAAAAACTTCGTACAAAACGAGCCTGCATCAAAATACGGGATGATGGTGGGATCTTGGTGTAATTGCTTCTACAATCTCTGAAATCCACCACCCTCACCCTGGCCCATTTCAGGGACAAGAACGCTGTGCTTGCGGCAAATCTTGTCGCGCCCCAGCCCGCAAAGATGAGGTCATCACCCGCTGGCACAATTGACGTAAGGGATGCATCTGGTAGGCAAATAGGGCTCACAGTGCTGGAGAACGAAATTTTTGACACAGTCTTCAGCAAGGCAATGTCCTGAGCTCTCTTTTCGGCAGCGAAAACTGGGGATGCCGCGCAACTTTGATGTCCAGCTCGAACGGAGGAGCGTTAGGATTGTCGTCAGAGGTGTCCTGCAAGTCGAGGTCACCGAAGCGCACACTCAGCTGGCGGCCATCGCGAGCGCAGGTCCCCCCGTCAACACCCATCGGTCAGAGATCACGGCGCCCCCGCAGACCACTATATCTCTGCCGCCCTTTTGCCTTTCGGAGATGGCCGCCATCCAGGGAAAGTTGGCGGCGTTCTTGACGAACGAGGCGCCCAGCTGCGCCGGTGGCGAAAAGCTGGTCTTCCCGCAGCCGGCGCCGCGCGGCTCCTGTCCAGGGCAGCAGAACAGCGGTGTGGTGGCCGCATCCAGGCCGCAGAGAGGCCGGTTCAGCGTCACTGACAGGTCCTCGCCGCCCGACGACAGCAGGTTGGGACAGTCCCGTAAGTGAAGGCAAAAGCCGGCCGCACCGTCCGGGGTGGAACAAGGCCGGCCCAGGTCACCCTGAGGCCGGTCGGCGGCATCTGGAGCTGCGGTCACTGTCGTGCTCGGGGCCGCATCCTCCTCCTGGTCCAGCTGTAGGCGGCGCAACAGCCAGCCAGTGTAGGCCGACAGCTTAGTGTAGAGGCCGGGACGCCGGCCGCAGCCAAGCGGGTCGCCAGACGACACGACGCCATACGCCACGAAGCGGCCGCTGTCCGCGTCGCCACACACCAGCGGGCCGCCCGAGTCGCCCTCGCAGCTGTCGGCGCCGCCACCCGTCGGGCCCGAGCAGAACATGGCGCCGGGCAGGAAGCGGTCCTGGTACACCTCGGGCGCACCACAGAAGGCGTCCGACACCAGCGGCACCGAGACGCCGCGCAGCACCTCCGAGATGGGCGCAAGGTCCGCAATGCGGCCCCAGCCGGACACCTCGCACGGCAGAAACGTCTCGTACTTGGTGCCGGCTGCCGGTAGGCAGGCCGGCTGCACGTAGCGGCCGAACTCGATGCCGGGTCCGACGCGGCGACGTAGCCGCAGCAGGGCCACGTCGTGCCGCAAGCCAGCAGCCGTGCCGAACCGGCTGTGCACGTGGTAGCTGGCGACGGCGAACTCCTGCTCGAACAGCTCGCGGTCGTCAAATCGGAGGTCTCCGACACGCACCAGCAGCCGACGTGGGGCCACCTCAATCACGCAGTGGGCGGCCGTCACCACGTGTTCCTGCGAGACAATGATGCCTCCGCAGTGATGTACATAGCCCTTCACATTGGCATCGTACATGACCAGCCGCGCCTGCCACGGATATTTACCATAATAGGCGGTGGTGTTGCCCGGCCCGACTATGAACGGTCGGCGCGCTTCGTCTGGCCGCACAAGGCGGCGGCCGCAGTCCGTCGGCAGAATGTCCGGCCGGTTGCTGTTAGCTGTGGGAACGGCGTCCGCCAGCCACGCCGTCAGCGTCAGCAGGAGCACAGCCCCGAGCTGCGCGCGCACACCGACACCCATTTGTAGGTCGGAACAAACGCCTTCCACAGCCCGACGGCCGCTCCTGTCGCCACCCAACTGATCGGATGGTGCAACTCTGTGCGCCGCGGGCTACAGCCTGGAAATTCCAGCGTCTGAGGCATGCAGAGGCGCCAAAGCTTTGCTATTTGGGGGGAGCGAGACAATTCTGCGGACAGCTGCTGGAGCATTTACGCAAGATGGGCGAATCAAATATGCACACTAAGGGACTACTAGCCCAAACGTAACCAGTTTACGAATTATCCGTGTGCTGCGCATGGTGTGAGCCGTCTCTATAGCATTGGAAATTACACGGTGGGAAAAACCGAGGATCATGGTAGATCAACAAGGAGAATTCCATTCCAGGTAGCCATCCATCAGGACGTCAAAAAGCATCTACTCGCCCACGAGCGCGGAGACTCATATCAACGCCTGCCCTTCATGAAAAAGGCAAACACGCTGCAAGCGTTCAATGTTCTGTTTAGCATATTATTTCATGAAAAGTCTATTGCGACGAAATTGTGCACATTACAACATCGAAAGAGAAAAAGAAATGTTGTAGTGGCCTAGATATTTTTCATCCCTGCCTTGTGTGAGACAGGTTATGGCACAGATATTACTATTAGTGGGTGATTATCTTGGGAGATGGTGGGTGACTACACCGTCTTCCAAGTTCTTGAAGGGCTATCTTAGTTCATTATAAATACGTTCCTTTCCTTACTGCGTTGTCTCCTCAGCGAAAAGACTGGTCGCTAACTGAACACGCAAATTCAACATGACGTAATGCAACCGTGGAGCTGAAAGTTATAAGAAATGTTTAATATATTCGTTGTCAGCAAAAAACGGTGCAATATAGTAGTTGTGATATCAACACTAATGACGTCATAACAGTGTTTGTGAATAATTTCCTTATTGTAAGAGTGGCGCGCTTTTCCTTGTTTACTTGGAGCCTACGTTAGTGTGTGTAGTGGACGGCTTTGAATGAGCCATCGAACTGAAAGGCCGGATTATGAGTATTTGCTTTTAGATGAATGCGTCCAGTTCACTGCAAGTCACACCTCATAGTAGAATTTCATCCTCAGTGTTTAGGATGGGGGTAGAATCGTTGTTAGCTTCATTTATTTTTTTGTTGCAATAGACGCTGCAAAGTGACATGACCTCCAAACATTTTGCTAGGGCTGCAACAGAGCAGAATTTCATAGTGAGATGGGCTATTCATATTTAGAGGGAAACTCACCTCATGAATGCAAAGTTCAGGGAGCCTGATTCAGGAGTGCTTTGCGTTCAAGTTTTGGATAATTTTGGGGAACGTCTTCCATGTGCCCAGGT